CCCAGCCCCCGGGCGGAGGCCGGGCTCCGCGTCTCAGGGCGGCGGTGACGGGTCGCCTTGTGCCTGTTCCGGGGTGTTTCTGGGTAGTAACGGCGCCCTCGTGGGTGAAGAGCGCTTTCGGGTGCTGGGCGTGCGCTGGGCCTGCTGCTGCTGTTGGCGGTGAAACGGCGGGTTTGGGTTCTCAGATCCCCTTGCCTGGAACCTGACTCAGGTCTGTGCTTCCTGCTGTTGAAGTACGTTCACCCAAGGGTTAACCACAGTTTATTTTTAATTCTGTAATTAAAATGTGCAAATATCCGTATTGAGCTTTGGCTCATTTAGCTTCTGTCTGGTAGAATTATCTCCCCAGGGAAACTTATGTCAAGCTCTAGTTTAATCGTAGTAAATCCAAACTTAAGCACTAACAGATTTTTATTGTATAATGTATCCTGGTTTGATTTTTGAGATGCTGCAGAATCAAATGCTCATATAGATAGGGCTATGTATACCCCAAGTATAAAACCAAAACCTTCATTAAATAAGGTTACACCTGGTTGCACGGTTCCATTGAGGGAGGTGCTAAAGCTACTTGTTTAACTGCAGATCCACGCCTTTCTGGTGCTGCTAAATGGTTGATTTTCTTCAGGGATTCTAAAGTACTTTCGAACTTGTGTAACTTTCCTTTTTTTTTTTTTTTTTTAACCAATTCAGGAAGTAGAAATTGGGCTGATGTAGTTGTCACAATTGCCTGAGCAAATATAGCTAGATAACAGCTAATAGCAGTTCAGGATAGTGTACTATATCACCATTCATCATAGTGTGCAAACAATGGAAGTGTATTATGTAAATGCGTTATCACAGATCAATTTTAGCTTTCTGCTGCTTGGTGTCTACCAGTTGGTAGGGTATGGCTCTGACTGTACCTGGTTGCAGTCTTAATTTTGATTTTTGGATGACATTGGCAGAAGCACTTAACATGTGAAGTTGTTAAATGGCTTATAAATACACAAACGTGTGTAGCGTTTATAAATGTGTATAAATGTGCTTGAATTTTTCCTAATGTATCTTTCCAGCAACATAGTTTCTACTGAATCAAGTATCCTATGAAATAGCAATGGGACTTCTTGTTATTGGACTACTGTTTTATTTTTAATGCCTTGCTGAACTTTGTTAACAGCTTAAGGAATGCGTTGTCCCTCATTGTGTAATAGCAATCACGTCTTTACTAAAGCAAAATGAATGCAAGGCTTTTTAAAACAAATCTTGCTGTGAACTGTAGAAATAGGTACGTGAAGCAGCAATTTGCTATGACCAAATTACTTTGTCTGGAATTGAATAAAAATTATATTCTTGATTAAAAAATCTATAAAGAAATAAAGAAACAAGTTTAATTACAATAATGGAAGAAGTGAGATCTGGTATGAATTAAATAAATTAACTGGTTTTTAGATATAAGGTGAAAGGATTGGATTTACCCTCCGAGGTGGAGACATAGCAAAAGCATTTGTATTAGTGGAGTAGAGCATCAGTGCAGAGAGGGGACCAGAAGACTAATCTGTGGGAGATTTGGCCAGGGTTGATGATGATAGTGCAGCATTGGTGTTGGCAGCGGGAAGTCTCTGGCAGTGATCTGTGGTACTGGGGGAGGGAGGAGAAGAGCCTCTGTGCCCAGTGTACTCTTGAGGAACCGGATCAACTGTCTGGGTGAGGCGCAGGAGGGAAGGTTATGGTGTGTGCAAAGGGAGACTAGTCTGCAGTGTCACAAAAAGGAAGAAAGGTTAAAGTGGCACAAGGAGAGAGAGTTGATGAAAAAGATGAAAGGATAAATGAACACTCTAGGCTGAACGACAAAACAGTGTTACTGGAGAGACCTGATGTGACCTGGTTTAATGTACAAAATAATGCTCAATGTGCACTGCAGAAACGGAACAATATCCCTTCTAGGATGGGGGGTGGGAGGGGCGTTTAGTCATTTTACATAAATGTGATTTATAAAGTACAAATTCTGTAGGTGTTATCACAGGGCCTTTTAGATATGGAATGTTTTCTTTCGTTTATGTTCAATCAACACTTCTTCCTCTTTTCCTGGGTATCATTCGTGGTTAGTTTTTCTTGTCAAAAACCTTACCATTATACCTGTGACCGAAAATCAGTGAAAATCCCAGGAACGACTGTTGAATCAACAGGAATTAAAATATAAAGTCTCTGCTAGTGTTTATAATCTTCTTGTCCAGACAGACTGTAGCTTTCATATGTTTTAGTGTACACCATCTGTTTGCATTAGGATTTAACTTTTTCTGTTGCATTTGTTGCCTTTTTTCCCCAAGAATTGGTGGCTGTTGCTAAACAGCAAATGTGTCTTTGTCAGTTACATCTTTTAACCTAAGGCATTAACTTTGGGGATTTTATTGCAGGCTTTTATTTATAGCTCTCGAACAATGGTTTGAGTCAGTTTTGTGATATAAATGGTTAACTGGTCAATTTTAGTTCTTCAACTATATCTAGAATTTAGGCAAGACTGTAAAATTCCTGTTAAAAAAAAAAAAATCTGTAAAATTCCTCTGCCTTTTAATCTCCCCTATCTAAAAACAATGTTTTAAATGTGTTTGTTTAGACGTGAACCACTGGCTCTTATCAACATCAAAAAGAAAAATGAAGAAACTGGGGAAGAAGAACTTGCCTCACGCTTAGATCACTGCAAAGCAAAAGCCACCAGGCACATATTCCTTATCCGTCATTCTCAATATAATTTGGATGGCCGGGCTGATAAAGACAGAACTCTGACCCCACTTGGTATGTATTACTAGGAGCATCAGACTTTGCATTTTGAGAAAATAAAGGGGATGTTTTTTTGATTATGTGTATGCCAACACTGTTTCAAGGGGGGAGGAGTTATTGTTGTGCAGCTCTGTTTGAGGTTTTAGAAGTCTGGTGTCAAATGTTTAGTATAAGGACCTTTTTCTTCCATCCAAGTCTTAATCACCAGTGTGCAAACAGGAGTGGAATGCTAGTCCCGAAGGACTAAGTTGCTATCTTAAAGTGGTAACAAAGTATAATCTTAATCCTGTCTCATGCTGTGCCTTGGGTCAGTTTCTTAAACTATCTGTTGTCTTCTAACCTAGCTACCTGAAAGATGGAACAGAGCCTTCCCTAGATGCCCAAGTGCTGTGGTTCTTAGCTGTTCCAAGCTGATGTTGCCTTTATGAACAATGCACTGTCAGGTCTGAGTAGATCTGTTTGACACAGCTTCCTCTTCTGTGCTCCCCGACCACAGAGATGGCAGATGGCTTGAGTCAGCCCTGTCTTTTATTGGAAGTGCCTCCCTTGGGATGGGGTTAGCAGGGATATTGAATACTTTAGTGAAAGTCTCTGAGTAAGTTTTGATAATTTTTTTTTTTTAATTAAAAAAAAGATCTAACTTCTTTTTTCCGCT